GGACCTTAGAGAGCAATATGCCGACGTCAATGCTCTTCAAGGATATCAGAACCGGCAGCCCAACGACCCCTTCTCGAATACTTACAATCCAGGGTGGAGAAACCACCCACACTTCTCGTGGTCCAACAACAACAACACTCTCCAGCCACCTCGTCCAAATTTCAACCAACAGCAGCCTCGACCAAACATTATGCAGCAGCAATCCCGCCCCAGCTTCATACCCCGTCCGAACTACCAACAACAACAACAACCCCAACAGCCAGCCCAAGGGTCCGGTTCAAGCTCGTCAAACCAAGATGATAAGCTGGACAAGATCCTTCAATTTATCACCAACCAGGACTCATCCATTAAGCGTCTCGAAACGCAAGTGGGTCAGCTGGCCATGAGAGTCGGGAACATGGAGGCCAAGTCCGACAAGGGAAAACTTCCGAGCCAGCCCGAGCAAGCAAAAGCAATAACTGTGTTGAGGAGCGGTAAGGAAGTGGACAATAAAGTGAGAATGCCCGAGCCTGATGACCCCAAGCCAACCGACCAGCCCAAAGAAGCAAGGGAGAATGCAAAGAGCAAGGAGGCTGACGTAGAAAAGCCGACGGACGGCTCATTGTTGCACAAGTATCCAAACCCATACAAACCACGCATTCCTTTCCCAAGCCGACTTCGAGATGAGAAGCAAGAGCAGCAATTCCGGGACCTATACAATATGCTCTCGAAGGTCAATGTCAACCTACCACTTCTAGACGTGATCAAGAACATGCCATCCTATGTGAAGTTCTTCAAGGACTTAGTGACGAAAAAGAGGAAATTTGGAGATGGAGCGAAAGTGGTGGTCTATGAGGCGGCGAGTGCCATGCAACATGATCTCCCGAAGAAAGAGAGGGGCCCCGGGGGTTTCGTGATAAAGATTGCCCTCGGGAACGGGAAAGAAGCTTCCGGGATGCTCGACCTCGGAGCGGGAATCAACCTCATGCCGTTTTCTATCTTCCAGCAGCTCGGTTTAGGAGATTTGAGACCCACTCGCATGTGTCTTCAGCTCGCAGACCGTTCGATCAGATACCCCAAGGGGGTAGTTGAGGATGTCCTTGTTCGGGTTGGGAGACTCATTGTCCCCGGTAGACTTTGTGGTACTGGATGTGGGGGACGTTCACGAGAACGGGAAGGACCACACTATCCTTCTCGGCAGGCCGTTTATGGCCACCACCAACACCCTCATTGATGTCAAGAACGGGACCTTGAACATGACGGTCCTAGGCGAGTCCGTGTCTATCTCTGTCCGGGAGGCCACGTCTGGCCCTTCGGCGAACTATGTGGAGGAGTGCGCCTTTGTTGATGCGAGTGACCCGTTCGTGGAGGAGATTGCCGTTCCAGATTTAGAAGAGAGATTGATGCCTGATCTTGAGGATGAGGAAGGACCGTTTATTGAGCTGATGGAGGTCGAAGAGTCGAGATTGATAACCCCACCAGCACTAGAGTTAAAAGAGTTGCCTCGTCACCTCAAGTATGTCTTCCTTGATGATGAGAAGAAAAAGCCGGTGATAATCTTTGCCGAGCTCAACCGGAAAGAAGAGAAGGAGCTGATTGAGGTACTTAAGAAGAACCAGAAGGCCATCAGTTGGAGCCTCGGCGACATAAAGGGGATCAGCCCTTCTACTTGCATGCATCGAATTGTTTTGGAGGAAGGTGCCAAGCCATTTCGGGATAGCCAGCGGCGGCTTAACCTGAATATGATGGAGGTGGTGAAAAAGGAAGTGTTGAAGCTCTACTCCGAGGGGCTCATTTACCCAGTGGCCGACAGCGAGTGGGTCAGCCCCATTCATGTGATGCCAAAGAAAGGGGGCATCACAGTTATCGAGAATGAGAAAAAAGAGATGGTTCCCACCCGCATCACTACTGGGTGGAGGATGTGTATTGATTACCGGCGACTCAATGTCGTGACCAAGAAGGACCACTTTCCGTTGCCGTTCATTGATCAAATTCTCGATCGTCTCTCCGGTCACCAGTTCTATTGCTTCCTATATGGCCTCTCGGGCTACTACCAAGTGGCTATAGCTCCGGAGGATCAGCCAAAGACAACCTTCACGTGCCCATTCGACACATTTGCTTTCAGACGGATGCCTTTCGACCTTTGCAATGCACCCGGGACCTTCCAACGGTGCATGTTCTCCATATTCTCAGACATGCTCGAGGATTGCCTACAGGTATTTATGGATGACTTCTCTATCTTTGGCACTTCATTTTCTGATTGTCTTCATAATTTATCTCGTGTGCTTGAGGGGTGTATTGAGTCTAACTTGACATTGAGTTGGGAGAAAAGTCATTTCATGGTGACTAGTGGAGTCGTGCTTGGTCATGTGGTGTCGAGTCGGGGGATTGAGGTTGACAAAGCAAAAGTTGATGTTATTGAAAAACTTCCCCCGCCTATGAATGTGAAAGGTGTTAGGAGTTTTTTGGGTCATGCTGGCTTTTATAGGCGATTTATTAAAGATTTTTCAAAAATCAGCCAGCCTTTGTGTCACTTGCTTGCTAATGATGTGCCATTCGTGTTTGATAATGCATGTGTTGAGGCTTTTGATAAATTGAAGAATAAGCTTGTGACTGCTCCTGTTGTGATTGCACCAGATTGGTCTTTGTCATTTGAGATTATGTGTGATGCATCGAACCTTGCTGTGGGAGCCGTTTTGGGGCAACGAGTTGATAAATTACTTCGTGTAATTTATTATGCTAGTTTGACTTTGAATGGTGCCCAATTGAATTATACGACCACTGAAAAAGAACTTTTAGCCGTTGTATTTTCCCTTGAAAAATTTAGATCTTACATTTTGGGGTCTAAGGTAATTGTGCATTTTGATCATGCGGCTCTTAGGTATATTTTGAGTAAAACTCAATCGAAACCTAGGCTTATTAGGTGGATTTTGTTGTTGCAAGAGTTTGATGTCGAAATTCGGGATAGGAAGGGTTGTGAAAATGTTGTTGCTGACCACTTGTCTCGCATTGTTCCTTCTGATCCTTCACTTGCATTGCATGAGCAATTTTGTATCAATGATGATTTTCCATATGAGCATGCAAGTAAAGTAACCAGTGTTCCTTGGTATGCAGACATAGTGAATTATCTATCAGACGGTGTTTTGTTGGCTAACCTCTCTTCCCAAGAGAGGAAACGTTTTGTGTTGATGTGCAGGAGCTATTTTTGGGATGACCCATTCCTTTTCAAGATAGGAAAAGATGACATTCTACGGAGGTGTGTGCCCGAGGAAGAGCAATTGAATGTCCTTACCTTTTGCCACGAGCTTCAGTGTGAGGGACATTTTGGAGGTCGGAAGACCGCCTTTAAAGTCCTCCAATCAGGTTTGTTTTGGCCAACTCTCTTTAGAGACTCTCATAGTTTTTGCAAATCTTGTGATAGATGCCAAAGACTTGGGAACATTGGTCCTAGGAATGAAATGCCCCTTGTGAACAATTTACAAATTGAAAATTTTGATGTTTGGGGTATTGACTTTATGGGACCATTTCCCAAATCTTTTGGCTTTGAATATATTCTTCTTGCTGTAGATTACGTGTCCAAGTGGGTTGA